TTTATTGTGCTGGATTTATATATGCTGGAGATGTTGATTATACCTTGGACAAAATATTAGAGATATCAGATATGAATTAAACCAATCATGAGCCGAGACTTCTATCAAGGAAGTGACCTTTAATATGATACTCAAGTCTCTGAAGTGATCAAAATTTTAATCCTTACCGACGCCAATTAGTTGAAGCTTTGGACACAACTGCCAACTCATAATTGATAACTTCTGCTTTGTACACGTAGGAAGGAATACATTTCAGAAATATGATATACAAATATACAATATGATCTAAAGTAGGAATCCATGAGAATCAAAAGTGCACCGATAGATCCCTCTTTTTTTTTTCCATACTTGCTTCATAATTTGAAGGCTTTTAAAGAGAGTTTCCATCAAGGCCCCTTGAGATATTATTTGCCCAAAAATCTTTAATAGTGGTGCCCTTGTAGATTGGTGGGTTTTCTTCCGATAATAATTCCTTAATTGGACCATAAACCTTTGCTGTATTTTCAGCAATGTCATCAAGATTTATAAAGAAGCTTGCTATGGAAATTCTTGGGCCTATAGGCCTTGCTAAGACCCTATGAAACACGCTGATGAACCTGTCATTTGTTATCAGCTGCACAATGAACAAGGAAACGGATGCATATTAATATGTAAAATTCTCGCAAACTGTTGGGGTGAAGAAGCGTGCCAGTGATCCTACTGTTGGGGAAATTAAGCTGTTTCATCCCAGAAAAAAGGTTGATTTCTAATATCATTCATTACACTCTAACCAAAAACTGTCGTTCTCTAAAATCATGTATTTACATCAAAGGAAGGAAGAACATCATTTCTAGCATGTTTATGCTAGAGTTAATGCAAATATTCCAATTATGGTGCATGAATCTTGATGTAGAAATCATCATCACCAAAAGAAGGCAGCAGTGATAACTTTTAAAATATAGCACTTCTATTTTCTTGTGTTTAGTTACAGTAATGACTATATGCAAGCCATAGATAGACAAGGCTCTTTGTTCATTCATACGACCAGAAGTGCCAAAAACCAAAATATTTACACTCTTGATCTTAGCACTTGACTTTTATACTTCCTATTTTATAGATTTGAGCGACTGAGGGCCACTTGATTTGCTAACTTGTTTGAGTTTACCATCATCCATACTTGCGTATTCTGATATTGTTATTAGCTGATATATGTTTTCTTGGGATTCCATTGATTCCAACGCAGATTGTTTTGCTACAGTTCAACGAATACATGAACGCAAGTGATAGTTTTGTAGGCAGTTATGACTATGAAGGATAAGATACTAAGGAAATAGGATATCAACATTAACAATTACCTGTAGAAGATCTCCAATGTTAACAACAAGAGCTCCATGCACAGGAGGAACATCAACCCACTGATTCTCATGAAGAACTTGAAGACCACCAATCTGATCTTGCAAAAGGATTGTCATGAAATCAGAATCAGTGTGCTTGGTAACTCCCATAGTTGACTCAGGTTCTGGGCACTGTGGGAAGTAGTAGTGACAGAGAAGAAAAAGCCCTTCCCCACAAGCCAGTTCCTTAAGGTAAGAAGGATTGAGGCCCAGAGCCTCCGACATTAACTCAAAGATTGTATTACCCAATTCCCTTATTTTCTTTGAATATTCAATTACAATCTCCCTGCAAGAAGCTAACAATTTCATCATGCATTGGACAAGGATCAGATTGAACAAATGCAATGAAATTGCAGAGTTGATTCCAAAACTTGCAATAATCACTTTACCTACACACTGCTGGTATATCATCTGCTTTCGCTGCATCAGGAGCTACAAAGAGTGTATCCCTCCAGTTAGCAGGTCTGTCTTTGTGCATGTGAACATTGGAATAGTACCTAACTTTCTTGTTCAAGTCTCTTGCGTAAAACTGCTTTCTTATCTTAGAGTCTTGTTCATGAAACCTTCGAATTCCATCAATCACCTCATCAAAAACATCATTTGGAATCCCATGATTAATCACCTGGAAAAATCCCCAATTCTGGCACGCACTTCCAATTTTCGCAACAGCTTCAGTGTGTAGAGATGAATCGTTGTGTATGCCCGCGAGGTCAACGATGGGGATTGTAAGGTTTGAGTAATTTTCTGAGCTCTCTGTGTGGTTCAACTCCTCAGAATGGAACATACGTGGGATCTTTGTCAGCCCAGAATCTACTAGACCTTTTACTCCAGCTCTTGTATCCTCAAACGCTTGAAATTCTGCATTCCTATCATAAGTGGATTCACTTGAGCCTGTGTTCGCCATACTGAGAAACTAAGCACTTTCTGTTCAATTGAAGCGAGAAGAGAGAAGACCAAAAAGTCAAATCATAGCCCACAATCAAGCAGTGAGGATACGAGTTTTTGTTTTGCTTTGCTTCTGTTTTTTGTTTTGTACTTCTTTCTTTTCTGGGCTAATATCATGAAAGAAACTTTCAAAGAAAAAATAATTATGGACCTTTTTTTATTCCACATGCAGACGAAAAGTGACAGGTCATTCAGTGTTGATGAGGACCTGGGGCCGCCGAGCTTGACAGGTTATTGTATCTAGGCCAGTATGCCTTTGGACATTTTTCAATTCCATGCAACTTTTGAATGTGGGATTATTAATTGATGGTTTTTTTTAATTAAAATTCAAAAATCTTGTTAAATTTTATAGGAGGATTCAACAAAAAATTTAATTATAAAAAAGTCTTTATAACAAGTTATCAGCTTGAACTTATTATTTTTCTCTATTCTGAAACTTGTTATTGTTTATTATTTATTTATCAATAGATTTTAAAGTGATTAATTTTTTTTATAACCTCATTGTAATTCTCCCACTTTTTAAATTTTATTAATAATTCTCTATTACTTTAGTAACAAAATATAAAAAAAATCAAACCTCAAAATTAGGCCTCAGGATTTTTTTTATGAATCACTAATTGAATTATAAGCAGCGGGGTGTTCAAATCATCGTTTCAAATCTGGTAAAAAAAATCATTGTTTCAAATTATTTAGATAACAAAATTATGATTTGAACGATAAATTATACGATTTATTCCACTTTTTTACTTGAAAATTAAGGGAAAAATAAAAATGGGTAAGGGCTCAGCTTTCTTTGTTTTGTTTTTGCTAGACACACATCGGGCATTAAATACAGTACTCTTACATGCTCAACTCTCTGCGTTTCACAAAATTTAACTTCCAGGCTTGGTATGGTGCTCAAGCAGTTGGGCTTAATCAAGCCCAATTTCTGAAAATGGTCCAAATACATAAGAGGAAGCTAATTTGGAGATCCTTATAATTTTCATCGATTTTGAATCAAATCAGGTTTTTTTTTAAAAATTGAGTCCTTTAATTTTCTCCCATTAGATTTGTTAGTCCCTGCTGTTAAATAAAACAAACACAGTTAAAATTTCTATTAATAGGCACAGCTTTGAAACATCTTCTCGATTTGAAAAATCATGTCCGTCTATCTCTTCCATCATATCCCAGGCTTTGAAACCAAGCTCCCCCCTTCATCTTTTTGTGCAATATATATTTTTTATGTTAACAAATGGGGCTTTTTATGGTGTCTCCTTGGATCGCCACAAATGGAGCAAGCACAATGGATAGAGATTTCCCTATTAAAGTGAAGCTTGGAAATGGAGGAAGAATGACTTGACTTGAACCTTTGCATTTTGTCAAATCTTTGGTTGAGACCAAACTTAGAGGTTGATGGTACATCTAGGAATGCAATGCTTTAGAGGCATTTAATTTTAACAGCAATCATCACAATTCCAGTTGCTGACCTGTGAAAAATTTTACTTTGTATAGTTGTCGAATGGCTGAAGAGGTGGGAAGGAACGGCGATGAGGTTAGGAAAGGAGAAAATGTTGAGGAACGAGGGGGGAAGCGTGATCTCAGAGCTTGGATTATGACAGAAGAGAAGGACGGGCAAGGTGTTTCAAATGTCCAGCTCTGCTTACTAACAGAGACTGTAACAGTCTTTGTTTTAATCTAACGGTAGGGACTAACAGATCTAACAACAGAAAGTTAAAAGACTCAATAAAAAAAACTTGGGAACTTGATTCAAAATTGATGAAAATTATAAGGACCTTTGAATTAGTTTTCCCAATACATAAATACAAATTTTGTTAACAAGGGTTGTTTAGCCTGATTTTGTTAACAAAAATATGAATTTTGACCACATAAAAACTAAAAATTAACAAAGATGATTAAACCTATGAATTATAGTAGTACTTAAAAATATAACAAAAATTATAAATTCGGTTAACGCTCTGCTTAACAGGCTAGCCCTTTTTTTTTTTTTTTAAAGGTATTGGCTCAAATGACCCGATTAAGCTCATATCCTCATTTTCCTCAGAGCCAGCTTTAGAATTAAGCGGGCCCTAACTAACTCGGCCCATCTAATCGGGTCCAAATTATTGGTTTTAGCCCAGTCCTTACTCAGTCTGGCTGCAGCCCATAAAACTTCTCTCTCTTTATCTTGCAGTTTTGTATCTTGGCCAATGCCGTCGCCCGTAATACCCCACCTCCAAGGTCTTTCCAGCTTCACGGGATGTATGAAGAGCTATCCAAAACGCATAAAGCGGGTCGGGTACACCCACCGTCCGCATTGGCCGAAGTGCGAAGTGCATGGTCTTCACTTTTGCGCTCAACACGCTAGGGTTTTAGAAGCCAAGCCGGGGTTTTACACATCTTCCTCTTTCTCTCGGTCTTAGAGATCTGAGAGTCAACTATCTCCTCTTCCACTTCCTGCTAATACTTGTTCGATCTTGCTTGCAATGGCGACCATTGCTCCCCCAGTTCCTGGTTCAGCAGCTGACGCTAGTGCACAGAAGAAGGTGGAGGAGAAAGTTGATTACCTGAATCTTCCCTGTCCGATTCCCTATGAAGAGGTCCACCGTGAAGCTCTCAGTCAGTCTCTTTCTTTTTACTTTTTGTTATTTCTGATAGTAAGCTTGGCATTGCTCAGTTCTTTTTCGGATCACTGAGAATGGGAGAACCATGCTGATTGGCCATATCAATTTTTTTCCGAGTTATCCGTATTACTGCTTTTGGTAACGTCCATGATGACGGAAATACTGAAGCTCAGACTTATTTGTATTGATCATTCCAATTGCATTTCTGTGCAAGTAGCAAGAACTGTATGTTGAAATAAAATGAGGGGTGTGCTGAAGCTCGATTTATTTATTTATTTGCTATATTTTTGGATGTAACACTTGAATATATGTATGCTCGTGAGCAGTGTCTTTAAAACCAGAGCTCTTTGAGGGGATGCGCTTTGATTTCACCAAGGGACTTAATCAGAAGTTTTCTCTTAGTCATAGGTAATGCTAGTATGAAGTTTCATGATATTAATTATTGCGGCTGTCAAGTTTTGTTGAGTTTGAGTATAGTCTTTTTTCTGCTATTTCAGTCTGTTCATGGGGCCTACCGAGGTTCCTTCTCCATCATCAGAGACCCTTAAAATCCCTACTTCTCACTATGAGTTTGGTGCGAACTTTATTGATCCTCAGGTAAGCTGCATTCTACACCCTTTACTTTAGTGGTGGTATTCTTTAAATGACCCCCAGCGGATGATTTTCTACAGTTGATGCTTTTTGGGAGAATAATGACTGATGGGAGGCTAAATGCAAGAGTCAAGTGTGATTTAACAGAAAAACTCACCTTAAAGGCCAATGCTCAGGTATGCTTGTTCAGTCACACGATGTTCTATGGGCTTAAAAATGTTTGAAAGTTTGACGTCCTCAGTTTTGTACTGGCACCCGCACTGGTTGCATAATTGTATTATATCTTTTCAACTCCTCTACAATTATTAGAGGTTGTTACTATTTTGATGGGCTGATTTTGAGTTTAAGGTTTTAATTGAAAATTATTGACACCATAAATAAAGTTTGGGGCCGTAATTAACTGGGATATTTGCACACAAAGATTTTGGCTACCAACAACCTCAGTTGCTTCCCCCTTCTCAAGCTTTTTTGCTTTATGTTTTTCTTTCTACTTCGGCATTACCTGTTATTCCTCATGTGTTTGGACAGCTTACAAATGAACCACATATGTCTCATGGGATGGCCAACTTTGATTATAAGGTGAGCCACTATTGCTTATTACTTGTTTATTATGGTCCCGCTTATGTCTAATGAAACATTTCCTCTTTTAGTTATTCTTTTTTAACGTCCAAGCATGTCTGAGTTTTTTCCATGGGGAAATGAACAAACCTTTATATTTTTACAGGGAACAGACTATAGGACACAGCTTCAATTTGGGAATGGAGCCTTATTTGGAGCAAGTTATATTCAGGTAGAAGATCTGCTTGTGTTGTGTATAAATTTAGTCCTTTTGTTTTTTCCATGTTTGAGTAGAGAAGGCTTTGCTTAAAACAATAAATAACATAGGATGCATGCAAAATTGCAAATAAAGAATATGAAGAATTTTATAAACTTGGGTTCTTTTCCTTGAGTCTGTTAAAACAATGATAACAATGACTGATTATTTTAAAATGTTCCATTTTGTATTTAGAAGGATACTAATTGAATTGTGCAAGGGTTCAATGTAGGAAGTGATGCTATGTAAACATGTGAGCTTCTGAGATAAGGATGATGCTCCTATAAGTCTAATGGGGTGCCCAATTTCTGGAAATAATAAATGCAACATTTTGGTTCGTTTTGATAGAAAAATACTATTTACGTAGTTAGAATATGGAATTACTGTCAATAACCTCGTTTATCACAAACTGTTTAGCCCAACCTGCTGCATGATTCGGGAGAATCAGTTGTTTTATGTCATCGGGATGTTTACTGAAAGCGTTGACTGTCTTCCAGAGTGTGACACCTTATTTATCATTGGGTGGAGAAGTATTTTGGTCTGGTCAACATCGGAAGTCTGGCATTGGTTATGCTGCTCGGTACAACACTGATAAAATGGTATGATTGCTGAGGGGCAGCCCTACCTTATATTATTTGCAGTTTCCTCTTACTTCATTTGCATATCTTCTTATATTTACATTTCTTTATTCTCTCACTTATGTATGACTTATTTTCTTGCTCTTTTGGTTGTAACTAGTTTGGCTTTGAATTGATTGAACTTGTCCCACGGGCGCCATTTATCTATCTTCTAGGATATGTCTCTATTAATATTTTGCAAGTGTTTTTGGCGTTCAGCTGACACATTAATAAATCCAATGACTTGTTTTCGCTTAAGACATTGGAACTGTCCATTGAACGAATTGACTTGTTTTCCTAGAAAACAGTATGAATGATTTAACTTGCTTATGTACATGCAGGTTGCTACAGGGCAAGTAGCTAGCACTGGAATGGTTCTTCTAAGCTATGTTCAGAAGGTTTCTGAGAAGGTGAGCAAATCAAAATGCAGGAGAGCATTATTG